ATGAACTTTGCTGTCCAGTGCCTGAAAAATTAAACCTGGAAAACTCCCTGAGTTAAGCCTGAAGAAATATGCACCACCAGTGGAGAGCAATGCTAATGTTTAACTAGCTGAAATAGCTGTTTGCTTAGTGGGGAATGTGAGGTATCTGACAGAAGGGACATCTCTCTTATTAGTAATCAAATAGGGCTGACCAGTTGTTGCCATCACTCTGGGATTGTGTCAGGCAATTGAGAACAAGTTCACCACTTTATAGAACTCCAAGTACAAAAAAATCAATATAATTATATTTGTCTTTAGTGTTTTAGCTATGGAAATCATACCGCGCTGGGTTGTTGCCTTGTGAGCTGAATTTATTTCTGCTTTATTGGCTAAAAAATAGTTGGAAGTGGAGGAATCTTGGCGGCGTAGTAAATGCAAGGCAGCGTGTTACAGCTTTTATTATTGGATTACGGGCATGTTCATTGTGCAGAGGGTTTTTTTTTTTTTTTTTTTGAGAGATGTGTGACTTTTGCAGATGTAAACGGTGAATTGCATTAAAGTGTGACTGCAGCAGAACGCGAGGAAAATTAACCAGGAATGAAAATTAGAATAATATTTTGCTATTCTGTGCTCAGTTGGACTCTAATCCAGAGCTCTGGTCAGAGGGATCCTTTCATGCCTCTTGAATGTCCACTGAAAAACGCACAAGGAGTTGATGTTTTTGGTCTGTGTGCACGACAAAACGTGGCAAAACATAAGTTTTTGGGGATTATAATGATATGTACATAATAATGTCCTGGAATCGCTGTGAGATAATTTATACTGGTTGTGTGAAGGGTGGTCCTGGTGAAATTGGACCAAGCTCCACAACACCAGTGCTTTTATACCTCCCCCAAACTACCAGAACTATGTTATAATTTGATATTCCAGAAGCATGAGAAGAGATAAAAAAATCAGAAAACATTTGGTTAATGGGTTTATCATGTTTATTTGAATAAGGAAGATTGAAACTCCATTTATGCCCAGCATAAATGCTTTAGTGATCTTAATTATTGATGAAAAATCTGCTGTGCTTCTAAATTTAAAGACAGGACCATTTTATGGGAATTTTAATCACCTGCTACATTAGGAATTTTCAAGATTTGGGTTTTATGAGGATGGCATGTATTTTAGCCTTCTAAAGAGAGTTGTCACTTATCATGTCAAAACACTGGGAGAATCTGGTGGCGTGCTGCCCTGGGCTCGGCACAGAGGCTGGTGTGGAGCTCTTCCTCTCCAGATGTGCTTCTGAACGACTGTCGGATGTGATGTTTGCTACGAGCAAATTGCAGCAAATGTAGGAGGAAAGCGTGGACATGAGAAAGCTCCGGAGGAGCAGTGGCCCTCTGGAACCCCTGACGTGGATTTTAAATCCCCGGTATTTGTGCTGCCTCGACCCGTGTGCTCAGAGTTTCGTTGCCTAAATTTGTTTGTCGGCGTTGAATTTCGGGTTTGCGTTTCCCTCTTGAGCATCACAGGGCAACCTTCCCCCATCAGATTTGGGGGGGTCAATTTACAGTTTCCCATAAGAAGTGGAACCACTTGGTTAGTTGGCTTTAAAACAAACAAACAAACAGAATTATATCCCATATGCTTCACTAGATCCTTTTGTCCTTTGGATACATTTAGCAGCTTTTGACCAGATAAGGCATATTTGTCCTCAGGATATGAACCAATAATTCAATCCTGAATTGAGATCTATGGCCACCCATTTGTTCCAGCCCACACTAGGAGACTCTGTGATAATCTGAATCGCTTATCTTGCTGGGATTAACAAAAAACAAAACAAAACAAACAGAAGGAAAATAATAATAATAATAATAAAAAAAACCAAAACAAAACCCCTTATGCACCTCAGGAATAATAATTTGTTAGCAGTGGTGATATTTTAAATAAACTTGTGTAATTACACGTTTGAATCCTGCAGTGGGCTCAAAATGCAAAAGCAAAACCTGAGGCCTTGGAAGCGGTTTTTGGTGTCGGGAGCCTCCGCGACCTTTTAATTCACTGGGAATTTTTATTTACGTCGCCTGGACGTTTCTCACGGAGCATGGCTGAGTGTGGAGGCTTTTATTACTGTACACATTTAAGGATCCTCTGGCATTTCGGGGCCGTTCCTCCAGCACAGTAACTCACGTGTTAAAGAACAAACCCACCGTAAATTGCAGCGCAGTCAGTAAAAAGATGCCACAGAAAACGTGTCCCTGGGAAATTAGATTGACCCAAAGAAAAGCAAATAAAAGAAAGGAAAAGGCCCATATTTTCTTTGCGGTGTTGCTGAAAAGGATGGGAGTATCATTTTCATAGTGGAATAATGTTTTCTGGGAAAACACAAAAGCAGATGTTCCTCATTAGGAACACCCATTGTCTACATATCACAACTATGAACAGATAAATCTCTCCTATTTCACCCATACATTCCAAGGGCTGTAAATGATTACAGGATGCCGCTGTAACTGCTAAACCAAAACCACACTCTGTGCTAAAATAATTCCTCCGTGCCACCATCCTATATTTCATTAGGAGGGATGGAAATTCCTGCTCGGATCCATCCCCTCGACTTCTCGCTGCCTTCTTGGGCTCGGTGCACCCCAAGGCCGGGGGTCCAACTGTTGATGGTGGGTCAGCCGGGGCGGTGGGAGCGTGTCCCTGTTCGGAACACGGAGCGTGGAGCAGTGGCAGGGCTGGTGGAGCTGGATGTGCTCACAGAGCGTCACCGAGCGCCTGCTCTGCAGCGGGTTTCCAGATGGTACCATCACAGTCCTACTGCTAGTTGGCATCTCTGTGGGTAGTAAATACCCCCCTCCCCAATAAATCTGGCATTATTCTATAGAGTTTAGGAGACTTATCATTCCAAGTGTGTCCTACTTTCCTGTATGGAAGCCAGACATCTGCTTATCCCATTTCTTTCATACAGAGTTTGGAATAGCTTTAGTTTGGGGGAATAAAAAGTTTTGTCATATTTAACAGCTGTTACAAAATTTCAGTCCCATAGGCTCTTAAAATACCTTTCTAGTGACCTCAGATTTGGGAGATAATTGACATTGCTGGTAGCCACCCCCCTTAACCTTTCCCTGGCTGTAATTTCAGATTATTTTTCCTAAATGACTAGGTCCTTCACGCTGGTTGTTTTTTTTTATTATTATTTATTTATTTTATTTTATTATTACTTTTTTTTTTTTTATGCCGGCTCCCCTGTGCAGCGCTTTAATTCCTCCCTACTCCAAGTTTACACCTTCGGCGGGGTGGCAACGAGGCGGCTGGAGGGCGAGAGGGTTTTTTTTTTTTTCGTCAGCAGCAGCGTTTCCTTTCACTTCCCGTCACAAAGGTGAGAGCCGCTGACCTTTGCTGGCAGTCCCGGCCGCTGAATTATTCATGTGATTGACTTTTTGTCAGTGCACACAGTTGTGCTCTGGGACATTTTATTCATTTACCTCATTTAAAGCGCCTTTCTGCACCTGTTCAAGTATTAATATCATGTAATTTGGGCCTAATGCCGATTTTGCTGAACACTCATTATATTTTTTATTAGCTATATTTCCAAACGATTATGTATGATTATTACCAAGCCTTACAAACAGCAATGGGTTATTCCCTAGACCTTTACATCTTCTTGTCAGGTTGTTTTCAGAAGCAAGGAGGATAAACATTTGACCAGTCCCAATGTTTTTATTCCTACTCCATATCCAACCAGAGAACTTAAAGCTTTTTCCCTTATGGCTTTGCGAAAGCATGATTAAATCCAACTCTGCAGAAGCTGTACAAATGCCAGCATTTATAAGGTCAACGCTTTTGTTAAAAATGCTATGTAAATGAGGATCTGCAAAAAGGGACATTAAATAAAATTAAATTCATTGTCTTCTTTAATGTCATTTACATTTTGGCTAAGCCCTGGCCTGTCAAGGAGGATTTTTTAAATAATTTTAATTACACATCATTTAGGGATCCAAGGTTTTCTATTCAGTAGCATTTGGATAACCTGCAAAATGGTGACTGTTTATTAACTTCTTAAATGACAACTTGTCATTTCATCTGCATAATGCAATGAAAACAG